GAAAATACAGCAATTTACCCCCCCCCCCCCACTGCCTCTGCTTAACTCGGTCACCCATTATTACCCACATCCCAATAGCCAGGGCAAGGCGGTTTCTAGAGATAAATAGGCCTTGTCTGGATGCGGAAAGTAGAGACCACAGACTCTCATGTGGCTCTCTGAAGCTGTGTTTAACTTTCCAGTCACCAGACCTCCAAGTGTCCCCTTCCCCATTCGCTGGTAACTCTTCTCCAACAGGAGGGTGCCTGCCCCTCACTGTTTGAAAGAAATTCTCCTCTGTGAAGTCAGACCCAGGATCTCTTTCTGCTGCCTCGGAAATCTGACACAAACCCCTTTGGAGCCCACGGCCAAGATAAGTTGCCTTGGCTATGGTGTTCTATCACAGATAGAAAAGTAACTAAGACTCTGGCCTCACATGTTGGATGACCTTGGATTTCTGAACCTCCTCCCTTTGCTTCCTTGTTTGGGCACATGCTGGGGATCAGACTTGGGCCTGCTAGGCAAACGCTCTACCAACTGAACTACATCCCAAACCCGGGTCTGTCACTCTTGTCGGGAGTGATGGAAAGCCTCGGCTGTAAAACTAGGATCATGCAAAGTTAGAGCAGGCTCTGCTCAAAACCGCTCTCCGTGGGCCCCACAAAGGAGATACACACATGTCAATGTCCCACTATAGCCTGCCTCCTCTCGATGGAGTGGACACCAGGAGGAGGGGGAGGCAATGCATACATTGAGCCCCAGCAGCTGCATTTCACTTCTCATTACCCAGTCTTCCTTCGCAAACCCCAAGTGTCCCCTACCCTCATGCAGGCACCTCTTTCCCACATCCGTGTCTGCCCTTCACTGTTTCGAAACAGTCTTTTCTGTTGAGGTCCCACGGGTCTCTTTTCTACCTTCTGTCTCTTTATGCAATCTCAGAAATCTAACCAGGAGAATGGATTAGATTCACCCGAAGTCCTTCAGGAGCCACCATTATCAAGATCTGGTCTGGGAGTGCTGTGGCAGCGTTAGGGGTAACTGGTTCTCAGGCGGAGTTGGACTTCCTAGTGGCAGGCTGTCGTTGTGAGGAGGCTGCCTCTTCTCTCACGCCCTTGGCAGTGTCCGCCCTACCCCTGCTGTCTCTCTGCAGCCTGCTATTATCTCTCAAGGTCACCTGAGACTTGGAGCCTGGGAGCTAATTCCTTCCCCCAAATACTGCACATTGTTCTGTGGGCACTGAGAGTCCTGAAGGCTGGGCACCTCTCCTAGAGGTTAGAATCAGATCAGTGAGTAGTTTAGGTGACTGGGCCATCTACCAAGGCAGAGGAAACTGGATACCCTCTTCTCTGTCACCCTCAGCTCACCATGCCCTGGATCTTCATAGCACACGCACAAGGGCACACTCAACAGGGACTCACAGCCCTTCCCCGGCAGATTCCCCAAGGCAGCACCTGGGAGAGCCCTCTCCTCTTCCTCAGCCTCTTTTTCATCCACTGGCCCCACCAAAGCTCAGAATAGAGTGTAGCACAACACACAGAAGCCAAACCACATTTCCTCTTGCTTCAATTAAGCCTCTCGCTGCTTTCGTTATCTTTGGAGCTTGTTTTCTAGAAGCAGAGCTGGTGTTTTGTGTGCAAGTGGTTGGTTAAGGAATACTCCAGAAGGCAAAGAGGTGGTTTATGGGTCTGCATCCCAAGAAGCCCCAGGCAGAACAGCCCCCTCAGAGCTCCCCCCTACCTCCAGAAAGTCAGGGGAGCCTGACTTCCACGGAGTATGGCATCAGGCATGGGATGAGGGATACTGGGGGTAGAAACCCCCATGCATTCTCCTCTCTGTGCCTCTACACACAGTTCTAGTAGCTTGGAAAGTCTGGGCAAGCATGTACCACCTTAGGGGAAGGACTGCCATGGAGCTGTGAACAGGCTGAAAGGGTCTAAGTGTCACCAAGCATCACCTAGAGGTCTCCTAGCCCTGGTTCTTATCCTATAGTCGAGGGGAGACTGAGTCTGAGAGAGGACACAGAGCAACAGAGGAGGCTGGGAAAGCTACTGTGAGCCACTGCCTTTCCAGGGTCAGTCCCTACAAAATCCAAGCTGAGGAGAGTCCCTCCACCTATCCCTCCCCAGGAGACAATCCCACCTCCAGACACAGCCCACTTTCAAATGCCCCAAATAAGCTTTGCTGGGAAGACAGCAAAGGGCTGGAAATGGGGGGGGGCATCGTGTAGCTACTGTGTGAGCCTCATCTCCCACGGCCCTTATCTCCCGACCCAGCTGCAAACTTGATGTATTTATTTGCTCTGATGTGTGTAAGGGGGTGGGGCTCCATCCACCCCACGAGTCTGCCAGCACTGGGAGAAAGTGACCTTCCTGCAGATGGCTGTCACTAGCCAAGTGGGGGCCACAGGGAGGTGAGGACTGCTATAAATCCCTTCAGCCTGCCACCAAGGGGTGACCCCGACAGGGTAGAGGGCATTGCTGAGGGAGCTTGGGAACATGGGGATAGAACCACCTAGATTCTACATGGACTGGACTCAGGAAAGGGGGCAATAAGAAGGGAAGAGAGGTGGTAAGGGAGCAGAAAGGGGGTGGAGGGGGCAAAAGCCTGTTCTGGGAGTCAGCACGCAGGCTTCTCCACTGAGAAGGGAGGTGGGTGTCTCACTGTGTTGTGCTGCTGTTTTGCTAAAGGTTGGCATTTGGTTAATCCTTAGGAGTTAGGCAGTACTTATTATCACCCTTAATTTTAATGCAATCGTACAGTTTTAGACAAGCAGACAAACAAACTCCATTTCACACTGGTCTTACCACACTGGTCTAACTGGCTGGCCTTTCGGACATTTTTTTGTGGTTAGCTAGCTGGCTTTTGTAATCAGCCTGGCTATCTAGTTGGGGATATTTATAACATGTATGAACTGCATTGTACTCCAGGCAGCTGGTCTTGGAGAGAATTCCTTTGAGCTGAGTTTAAGGAAGTTCCTTGAGCCAAGACTAAAGGAATTTTCCCCCTCATTTGACAAAAAACACATTTTGTACGGTTAGATAGGAACTTCCAAACTTCCTGGTTTTTTTTTGTTTGTTTTGTGTGTGTGTGTGTGTGTGTGTGTGTGTGTGTGTGTGTGTATGTGTATGTGTGTGTTAATGATGTGGAGAGTGAGTGGAAATTTTAAAACTATCCGCAGACATCTTCCTCACTCAGGCCCAGTGTGTCTGGAGCTGACATATGGATTCAGTCACAAAAGCAAATGGTAGTCCCATCTACCGTTCCAGAGCTCCAGGTTCAGCATGGCCCTTGTGTGGGACTTCGGGTTATGCTGAGGGGGAATGTGTCCCAAGATCTCACACGTATCTTCTTTCATTCTCTCCAGATGTCCCCATCCCCACAGAAGGCTGACAGTCCCATGGCCACTTCTTAGTTGTAACTGGAGATAGGCCTCTCCAGAGACTGCTCATCCCTAACAGGAGAGGGAAACTGTGGACAGCCGACAGAAATCATTACTGCGACTTCCGACTGTCTCAACAGCTAGCTGTACTCCCTAAATACAGCTGTATATGAAGGAAACAGTCCTCTTAGAGGTCACTGATCTGAAGAGTCCCAGAGAAGGCACAACACGATGTGCATTGCCACTTCAGTTGGAGGAACATGAAAGCAGGGAAAATTTATCTTAAAGATTCCTCAGGGGGCAGCAGAAATGAAACAAAAAGAAGTTTCTCTCAAGACACTGCCCTAAAATCTTGAAGAATTAGAATTAGGATGAACTTGAGCAGTGGGACCAGGTTGAGGGAGACAGGGGCTTCAAAGGGCACTTCTCATTACCTGAGATTGGACCATCAGGAAGCCACACCCAAGCTCAGGCCAGGTACCCGGTGCAGTGCGGAGGGAAGGGGACATTTATAAATGGTGCTGGCCTAAACATGGGCTCCCTGTGGGGTCAGTTCTACTTCTGCCATAGGCAGGAGAGCTGACCTTGAACAAGACATTGACCTTGCTGTTCCTGGTGTTCACTGGCCGGAGGAAGGCAGCGGTATAATGAAATAGTGTATCTGGAAGGAGGCAATGAAGCGACCTGTCCCATGGCTAACGTGTGTCTGCTGGGAGACTTCTCACCAGGATGTCTGGGCTCCTGGCCCGAGTGAGATCTGCACGCGCCTCAGTCCCTCCCACGATTGGTGGGACTTGGTCCCACTGGGGTTGTGAGCTGCAATAGAGGATCATCTAATCGCTTCTAAAAGATGATCCCAGAAAAGGGATCCAGCATGCACTGGGATGTTTCTCAGAAGGTTCAAGGACTTCTTGGTTGCTAAAAAAAAAAAAACCCGCAGACCTGGAGACTAAAAGAGTGATCCACTCTGCTTCTAACTAGATCCCCAGCCTTCATTCCAAATGTGAGCCTTAGTCTGGTCTAACCCCACGCCTTACCATCTACCCTCAGCTGGACTGTAGGTCAAGTCCTCCCCCTCGACAGCTAGCTTAGCCACCCCCTAACCTGGCCCAGGCCTCATTCTCCCATAGTATTCATCTAATTTCACTGATTATCCAGCATTCCCCAAACTGAGATCACATGCTTCCACATTTGCAGGCTTGCTGGGCCTGTGTCCCTGCTGGGCTTATAGTTACTTAATATTGATGACAGGTAGACCTTTAAAGAATTCCATGTTAGTGCCACTCTGAGCGACTGTACTTCAGAGATCAGCAAGACTGGTAACATCATTTCTGATAGGTGTTCAGGTAAATATAAAAAGCTCAACATTTAAAAATTCTTCTCCATGGGTCAGCTGCCTAAAGCTGTCTCCTGTAGTCCCAGAAGAATACACAGCACACTTCCAAGGGTTGGTATATAGTTTAAGCCTAGGATAGCAACCCCAGGAATGCTGTGCACAATGGCCTGCCAAACAGCAACCTCTGGCCAGACACGTGGGCTGTGGCGCCCTCTGCTGACAGAATATGGGAATAGTGTGTGCTTGGCTTCTTTTCTATCTGGGCTGGTTCAGGGTCCTGACAGTGCATCACATCCAGGGACCCTAGCCGTGCCATTCCTTTAATGGAGAATAAAGACACAATGTGAGACAGAAACCTTGAATTCAGAGCTGGATAAACCTGGTATGTGGTGAGCAGGGAGACTCTCAAGATTTAGGAGATCTGCTGAGAGGCTAGACTTTGACGGTGGATGGAGTATATGACAGCAGGCACCTGGGTAGTGTTTGAGTGTTGTGCAGATTGGAGAAACATGGTTGGGGCTGGGCTAAAGGAGACTTTCAAGGAACAGTCACATGACATGAACTAGCTAGTCTTTGGTTCCCAAAAGAGGGGCTGGGCTAGAGATGGCCAAATGGCCCCAGGAAGCCTGCTCTCTATCCCAGGTCTTTCTCCCACGGGGTGTGCAAGGAACACAGAGACAACCACTGCTCAGAGGCTACGAGACTCTTACTGACTCCTGCAGACCCAGGCCCTCTCCCCCAACATAGTGTGTATTAATATTAGTATTTTGCTAAGGTTTGCTGTTGGTTTTCTTATAAATTGGCAACTCTCAACTTGTTTGTTTGTGAAATAAGACCTTAAGATAGGGAAACTGAACTTCTCATTGAACCTATCAAAGACCTCATAGAGTAAAAATATAATATACATTACCTCACAAAGGAGCTGCCTGGGAATCAGGGTGTTAACAGCCACATCATGGCCACTGGCTGCCAAGAACCGAATTCCAGTGTCCTAACTTGTAGGGCTTGGCGGTTGCTGGTGGTGTTAGGGTAAATCTTGACATAATTTTTAAAAAATGGCACATGCAGCATATTTAAACTTTGATGTTTTTTGGTCAAAGTGAGAGATTAAAAAGCTCCAGGAGTGGGACTTGGGGTATAACGATGTTACTGGTGGTGCACGTCTTTAATCCCAGCACTCAAGAGGCAGGGGCAGGTGGATCTCTGTGAGTTTGAGGCTAGCTTGGTCTACAGAATGAGTTCCAGGACTGGCAGGGATACATGGAGAAATCCTATCTTAAAAAATCAAAAACAAAACAAAAATTCATATATAAGAGCAGACAGATAAGACGGGGCTTTCCTTCCTCCCTTGTCATTAATCTGTGTCAGCTGCAACTGAAGACAGCCAGCCTGGAGGAGCTGGGACTCAGTGGGCCCTGTTTAGTTCAGGGATAGGCTGAGGACGAGGTATGAGACATGGCCCCAACACTGCCTTGCCTGTACAGCCAGGCTAGGGCCTTAGCCTCTTTTCCTCTCCATCCTCAGCCCCACCCAGAACCAGAGCTCTAATGGATTGCTGTCGGAGCCCAGCTTCACCATGGTAGGAATGGACTTCTACAGGATGCCTTCAAACATCAGGATGGGTCAGAGTTGTGGGCTTGCAGGCATCACCCACTTGAGAGAGGAGACCACCAACCTGTCAAGACCAGACCTCTGGGCTCTCTGGGAAATTCCCTTGGAGCAGGAAGCAGGGAATGGGTCAGGGTAAGGAGGCAGCAACACCAGCAACAGTTCAGATAACCGTAGGGAACAGCTGACCTTCAAGATGATCATAAGGTTGGGGACCAAAGACTTGGCATGAGAGCTAGGGTCCAAGGGTGAGGATGCTTCTTATTTGCGGCTCCAGCAAGCTGCCCCCCACTCTGAAAGCCCAGGATGATAGAGCTGGCTGGAGACTTGGAGATAAAAATGCAGGCCAGCCAGCTCATTTCACAGAACAGTAGAGCTCTGGCCTTTTCCTAATCATATTCAACATACACAGCCAGTGCTTTCTCTACTTCCCTTTGATGGGGAGATGGTCTGTGACAGCAGTGATGCTCAGAATTGAGCAGATAGCATCGCTCGGAGAACCAGTTAATGCTGCAGGCCCTACTCCAGACAGCCTCATTCGGGGGACCTCAGTAAAGTCACCTTCCCAAAGCTCTCAATGCAAGTATCCTACTGGGTGTCCCTTGGAAGGGCTGAGTGCAAGGGTGTTAGGTGGCCTGATGAACAAAGCACAAAGCTAGAAGGGTCAGGCTGTAGAAAGGGACATGGATGGAGCAAGAGCTTCTAGCTCTCTCCTGCTAGGACGCCCCTTTGGAATGAAGTGGGTTTTTGTTTTGTTTGTTTTTTGTTTTTGTTTTTTTTTTTTACATGAACACAGTTGGTCTCCGGATAGTGAGAGCTGGGAGAACCCAAATTCATGAAGGGCAGTTTGGTTTGAAAGGCACTTTGGGTGCCCAGGGGGCTGCTGGTATAGTGTAAGGACAGTGGTTCTCAACCTGTGGGTCACGACCATGGGCTCCTGATTGTCTTAGAAACTGAGACACCGCTCAGCAGCAAGGTTACAGTTATGGCTGGGGGTTCCTAAGACCACCAGAAATGTGTGTTCTGCAACGGTCACAGCGTGCAGGTTGAGGACCTCTGCCTGAGGGTGTTATTCGTATGAGCTATCAGCAGATCGCTTGGGACTTTCTGATTGAGCATCAGGGAAGAGCTGCAAGGCCACCGTGGTAGTGGTGGGTGAGGTGCCTGGGGCCATATGAGGGCCAATCAATGAGCCCAGAGGCCATGCCTTCTCTACTCAAGTCTTCCTGATTCTGGCTTCTAGAGGGAGCGTCTAGGTCTGGGGTGCCTTTGACGTCTGCTGCAGGAATTTTAGAGAAAGAGTGTTTGGTTCCAGTGTTTGGCACCTATTCTGAACTAAGTTCTGTATTGGAGACCAGGACCTGGGAATGTGGTGAAGGGTGGGGCCTAGCTCAAGGACGCCCCTCCCCCTGTGGCTCCCAGCTAAGCCAGGCATCCCTTTGTGTCAGCTCTGCTCGGAGGCCTTTTTGGCCAAGCTCTGGCCAGGGAGAGTAGAGTTGCCTTCTGACCCGGCTGGGGCACACCCTTCTGACAGTCCTTCCATGTAGGTGCTCAGAGCCTGAAGGTATTGAGCAAGCTGGGTGGGAGCCGAGGAGGAGGTCTGCGGGCTCAGATAGCGGCCATACCTCTTCAAGCCCTCTTGCCGGTTGCTGCGGTATGCAGTCAGCAATTCTAGGAAGCTCACATTGTGGAGGGCCAAGAGGCGGGCCTCAGCGGGAGGCAGGACACTAGCCTGAACTAGGGGCTGCAGGGAAGAGAAGCACTGCAAGCTACTGAAGGGGTAGACATGCTGGGCCAGCTGTGGCCCCGGGGAGACCTCGAGGAGGCAGCACAAGTCTCGCATGGCCAGCACAGCGGCCAGGGCACTCCGTTCACTCATGTTCCTCGCCAGGTAGGTCTTGGCCAGGTTCCTGAGTCTGAAGCTGCTGGCACCGGGTATGCGTTCCTGAATGAGGGGCAACACAGCCAGGAAGCCGGAGATGGCATCCTGGAATTCCCACAGCTTGTTAATATCATCCAAGGCCTTGAAGAAGATGGGGAGCTGAGGCCCCCACAGCTTGGAGCAGGCCAAGATGGGACGCTGCGCGGAGGTGAGGAAGCTGAGGAAGTGCTGCAGTCCAACCTCCAGGGAGACTGTCTTCGAGTAGACACTGCAGGCCTCGGGCTCGATGAGTACTCGGAATTTGCTTTCCTGGTTCACTGCTGCCAGTTGGCTAATTTTCTGGGCTAGGCAGGAAAGAAGGGCAGGGTGAGGTTCCAGGGTTTAGGAGGCACCCAGGTGGGTGCAAGGGGTCAGACTGCTGACCCACTATCTAGAGAGCCCACCTGGAGGCCTGCCGGCAGGAACCAAATGGTGTTTGGACCGATGTAGTTCTTGCCTGGCTCTGATGGAAGGGGTCGGGGGCTCACTTGTGGGTAATATGGTTTCTCCTATCCCTCCTGCCCTCGAGTTTGCCCAATCCCAAGAACTCTGCCCCTTTTGAATTTTCTCAGCCTCCACCACCACCAGAGACCCCATCAGTCCCAACTGGATCAGAGCCCAGGATTGAAGACAGCAGTAATGGCCTGCGAACCCCCTAGGAGTATGGTCCAGAGCCTCCCCCTGAAGCCTACAGATGACTTTTTTTGTGTGTGCTCTCCAAATACCTGATGCTTCTGGCTGGTAGGCTGGCCACAATGGCAGGGCCCACAACTGTTAGCCAGGGCAAAGGGTCAGAGCTGAGGGGCCAGGGCAGGGATGACAGCAAGGAAGACAAGGGGCTTCCAGGAGGAGGAGTCACAACTCCCCGTGGCCTAGGTTCTGCAGACCTCCTTATGTAGTATCCATTTGTGGGCTGGGCCTGTTTGGGGAATGTGTGATCATAGTCAAAGTTCAAGTGTGGATTACTGGTCAGCAATGAGCTCACACACTGTTCCCAGCCTCTCTCTGTATAGAGAAGGTCTTGTCAGAAGCGAACCTATGGCATTACATGTCTCCCTCCTATGCCCAGGTTCCACTTCAGGCAGACATGGCAACATCAGGCATCCTAGGTGGGGTCAGAGTCCTCTGTCCACCTGTCTGCCATGGCCTGCCAATGCTAAGGGCTGGCTGGAGCCTTCCAGGTGTCTCTACCTGCACTTTCCCTGAGGACTCAGAGACTAAGATAAAAAAGAGATGGTGTAGCTCTTGGGGAACCCACTTTCACTGTCAATCTTGAGGTCAAAGAAGACCAGGGGCCTGTCTTCCACTCGGGGGTCAGCGAGGCTCTCCTCCGATGCTTTGAGGAAATTGGGGCCCTCCAGCTGGAGGCCACTGGACTCACTGCTGCTGTCTTCCAGCTCGTGGGAGGACTGCAACACACACAAAAAAAGCCAATAGGTCAGGAGTTCAGGGGCCTGAAGGACCTGCCGAGTGTGCACACATACAGGGAGACATAGGAATGTTACTAAGCTGGCACAGTAAGAGCATCTGTGTGCACCAGAGGGTAGATTAGACGGGATGCACAGATGGGCGTGCAGGTGTGAGCTGGCTCACGCACCTTAGGAAGGGAGGTGTGAAAGGGGAGACCATACAGGTGGGCATTATGTGTACAGACCTGAGTGCGGGATGCATGGGTGAGGGACATCAGCCTGTGCACAGTGTCGGCACAAGTGTGTGAAGCGTGAGACACAGTGGGGTGGGGCAAGCTGTGCCTGCTCGTGGAGGCTCAAGGAAGGGGCCAACGGCTCAGGTGTACAAGGACTGAGATATCTGCTCCTAATTTCACCTCTCTGAGCAGACTCGGAAGAAACAAATGGCACCGATGGGAACGAGATAGGAGCCACAACCCCAGGTGATTCTTTGGAAGGGGCAGGAGCCTGGCTTTCCTAGCCCTCAAAACCAGATTGACCCATGGTGCCTTTCAGTTTAGGGAAGGAAAGGACTACTTGGCTTCTTAAAGTCCATATCTAGGTGGACACACATTCACTGGCTGGGAGAGGGTCTGGGCGGGAGCGGCTTGGAGCCTCAGATCCTGGAGACTTGAACTCTCCGCATCCAGACCTCAGTTGCACTAAGGAGCCTTGGAGTTCCAAGATCCACCCCAGGCTTTCTAAGTGGCTCCACTCCCCAGCAGTGGCAAGGTTGTCATTGGGGAAACACCATTTTAAAGCCCTCAAGGATGGGAAGGGCTCTCTCTATCTCTGAGATTTTCCCAAGGAGTGAGAGTGTCTGAGGATAATACAGTCACTCAACAGCACAGCCTGTAAATGTTCTTTAATGTCACTTTGGACTTTGGACAGGGCCCAATGGGAGGTGGGGAACTGCTGGGACAGAGCTTAGACAAGGTCCCGGGTCTGTCTTCCTACGGACTGCTCTGGTTGTCAATGGAGTTATCACTTAGGGCTGAGGCCTCTATTCACCGTGACCTCCAGCTAATGCCCCTGGCTTGAGAGAAAGCTAAATGTTGTCCTGGTTGTTGTTTTGTTAACAAGCTAGAGGTATCTGAGAAGGGGGAACTACAATTGAGGAAATGCCTCCATAAGACTGTCCTTAGGCAACCTGTGGGGTATTTTCTTAATGAATGATATGGGAGGGCAAAGCCCACTGTGGGTGGTGCCTCCCCCTAGGCAGGTGGTCTTGGGGTATATAAGAAAGCAGACGAGCAAGTCAGTGAGTAGCATCCTCCATGGATTCTGCATCAGTCTCTGCCTTGAGTTCCTGCCCTGGCTTCCCTGGATGACAGACTAAAAGCTGCAGCCTGAAATAAACCATTTCCTGCCCAAGTTGCTTTTGGCCATGGTGTTTATCACCCATCCTTCTAAAACACCTGCTTTGCACAAACCTCCAGCCAAGAGAAGTCATATTGTTCACCAGAAAGCAAGCCAGGGCTGGGTTTTCCTATAGGAGGCTGCTTTTCACTCAACTTACATTTTGAAGTCCTGCGCCAAGCACCCCAACTTCTTCCTAGCCTGCCTTACACGCAGAGACCCTACATTGCTTGCCTTCCCTGTTAGGGCCTTTCTGGAGGTGTCCTCCGAGTTGCTAGCTGAGAGCAGAGGACTCAGTCCTCTTTCCCGTGGAAGAATTGGTCATTTTCTGTCTGTGGCTTCCAGTGTCTGTTCCTCTGTTCAGGGTTTCTGTCTGTAGGTCCCAGTGTCCATCCTCACACGTGGACTTGCGGGCAGAGCTGAGCCACCCTGGCCATGTCTTTCCCTGCTCTGGGAATGTTCACTCTTGCCAATCTTTGAAGAGCCGGCTCACTAGCCCAGTCGATTCTGCTGCCACTGGCATGACACACAGGCTTCATCTTCCTTGGTCTTCTTCTAGCTTCAAACATTACTTCAAAAGCCCCTTTGTGGTTCCAGGTGCTTCAACCTGACTCCTGGCATTGACTTCCATCTCCTTCTGGTGGTGTCCCTTTATGCCTCAAAGGCAATCTTCCAGAGCAGGACACCTGGAGTGCCACTCAGCTGGACCTTTTGGTTAGCACCTTCATCTCCACACGACATGGCAGGAAGCCTCATTTCTAAGTCTGCCTTCTCTGAGAAAACCTGTGGGTGTCTCATTAACAAGATGCCTCCTCCCTTTCCTCTGTGCTGTGACAGAGGAAAGGCTGGGTCTATCTTTTAGCCTGTACACAGCCCTGCCCCCCCCCATCTCTGAGAACGGCCATGCACTATGGCAGAGGCTGGTTTCTCTGGAACACTGTGTACTTAAGCTAGGCAGCTGTAAACTCCTTATTCGCCTCTTCTCTTAACTCCCAAACAACCTGGCAGGAGAGCATCACTTAAACAAGACATTTCTAAAGAGGAGAGCCTACAGGGAGGGAAGACAGAGCATCTGGCACCAGCATCTTTTCCTCCTGGCTCAGCAAGGGAGCCTCCGGTCACATTTGCAGCCCTAACGCCTCCATCTTATTCCAAAAACCAGAACAGGGTGTGAAGGAGGACAGGGGGAGACAGGCAGGCAGGCAGGCAGACAGACAGACAGACAGACAGGTGCTGGTGGGGGAAAGGGAAGTGGGCACAGAAGGGAATAGGGTTGAGGAAAAGAGAGGTTGGTCCAGGAGTGAGAACAGCAAAGGGAAGGGCAAAATACTTCAAGAAACCGTGGAGTGATGATGAGAGCCCAAGGGATGGGATGGGGAACCTAAGCGTCATTGTGGGCTATAAGCTCTCTTTCCTTCCCTGTTCCCAGGCAGAGGCAAGAGCCAGCCTTTCTTGTCCCTCTTGTATCACACCCTCTGTGTAAATGCCACTTTCTTTAAAACAAAAGAACATTCCTCTCACCTAGATGCGTAATCAAATCCCCCAACTCAGTGGTACTTGATTTTGCCAGGCTTGAGTGGCATAAAAAGTTCTGGAAGTCCAGGCTGCACATGGAACAGTTCAATTACAGTTTAAGGGAGTAGGACCCAGAAATCTGCAATTGTTTAAACCCCTCAGTGCATAGCCAGGCTTGAAAACCCTGGGTCTACATAGGGGTTCATTCCATGCTTGATCATCAGCTGAACAGACACATGCCAAACCCTTTAGGAAGCTGGCACACAGCTTGAAGGAGCCATCTAGAATCTTCCATCAATGTCCAGTGGGAGTTGTGATCCTGGGGAACTCCCTCAGCACTCAAGCTTCAGATACAGCTGGCCTCAGTTTAGCAAGACACATGCATCTCTGGGGTTTACAGACAAAAAGTCCTAGCTCTTGCAGTCTTGAAGGCCTTGGAGACACAACAAAGGTATTAGGGAACCAATCCATCTGTAATTGGCTGCTATGACCCTTCTGCCCGCTGCTCCAGCCCTTCTGCAGGCAGTTCCGCTCTTAGGCAAACAGGTCCTAGCTTCTGAGCCAAGCGCCTGACTCACATTCTCTGATATGCACACTCATCGGAGCCATGGCTGCATCTCTGCACCAGCGGCTGCCCATGGGCCTCCCTTCCTCTGTCAATCATCATTTCTAGGCCTATCACAGCCTGTCCCCTTAGCCAGACGCCTTCCTCTGTCACAAATATGGGTGAGAGTACCTAACTCTTCTGCTGTGACTCCTCAGACAGTGGCCCTGGCTAGGTGCAGGGCTTGCCCACCCTTCCAGGGTTTAAACAACAGTTCTTATCTCATGGACTCTACAAGAGACTAGGACTTGCCTTCTGCTCCTAATCTGTGACCCTGCTGTAAGGGCAAGCTCTTCCAATGCATTCCTCCTTGCTCAGTCTCTCTCCTCAGACAAAGCTGCAGGTCACGCTGGGGCCTACCCCCACTGGCTCACTAGGAAAAGCTATCATCCAAACAAGCCAGTACTACAAAACAGCCCCTCATTGAAAGGCAGAACAAAGGCCCCACAGCAAGGCTATCTGGCTGGGTAGCCTGGAGCACTGTCCCTCCCTCCAAACTGCAGAGTGGGTATTTGTGGGGAGGTATGCTACAGTGCCTCAGAGGTTTGGGAGGGTCCTAGAAGATGGGAGTGAAATGCGTGAGAGGACTTAGTTTATTTTTTAAGTTTGGGACTCTCGTAATGGTTACTCTTTTACCTATATACACAAAAGAGGTAGACTCTACTTCTGCTCACTCTGCACAGTGAACAATGCCCTCTAGCTGGTAACCTCCTCCTAAGTTGAAATATGTCTCCCTCCTCCCTTGGTGACCTGGGTACCCCCAAAGATAGTGGAGTTGGAACCCTATTCCTCTTCCCATCTGCTGCTACGCTGCTTGTGGCATCTCCCGGGCTCAACCCTGCACAACATCCAGGGAAACTGCTGGAATGCTTTTCTCCACCGTTCCTTCCTAGGTTTCCACCTCCATCCATGGGCAGTAGTTTGAACTTTATCAAAGATGATGCGCTAGAAAGAAATGTCTGGGTAACAGAAGAATATAGGCCACGGGAAGGCAAGGACCAAATTTTGGCTGGAGGTGAGAAATAAGGCAAAGGGGTCTCGTGGACTCTCAGCTTGTGTATCCAGGTTGACGGCAGAGAGATGCTGTGAGAAAGAAAGAATGTGTGAGGTACATACAGGGCATCCAGGCAGAGCTGTTGGAAGGTCCTGACACACCGGTCTCACAGGCAGGAGCAAGCGCGGGCATCAGCTCTCCCTGGGCAACAACTAGTCAGAGTGGGCTGCACAGAGTACAGGGAGAAGAGAGGCCAGGGCCAATGCCAGAATGTCAGCCTTTACAAGAGCAAGGAGACCTGGAATGGAGCACCTAGAGATGCACAGAGAAAGCAGACTTCTGGGAAGAGGCCAGCCCGGTCAGGAATGCTGTGGACTATCGAGGGCCACTGTGCGGAGAGGCAGAGTTTGCAGGCACGGTGGGGGGTTGCGGAAGTGAGACCAGGGGCAACGTGAAGCACAGGCCCAGGGAGAAGCAGGGAGCGGGAGACACTGATGAGGAGGCAGCAGGTGAGTCAGAAGTCACAGGCCGATGAGCAGCAAGAGATAGAGCGAGGCCTCCCACCGGGCAGGGGCTGGGCCAGGACACAGGCGTGGCTCTTAGAGGCAGGCCGACTTGCAGGCAGAAGGGGCAGATGAAGGGAAGTGACAGCAACAGGCAAATCTGTAATTAGGTAGCAGACACCCATGATCCCCACACTGTCAAAAGGGTTTCTGTTTCCTCCCAGGAGCAAAGCATACAGTCATCGGGTAAGAGAGCGGACAGGAATGAAGCCCAGAGAAGTGTCCCTGGGAAGCCCTTTGCCTTCCTGTGTGGCTTCTCTCCAATCTGTCTCCAGGGGGCAGCAGAGAGTCAACAGGGCCCTGACTCTGGTTCTTTCTGCCAGATGAGGTAATGATTGAAATACCTCAGCTGGAGGGAGGTGATGGTAGGTTTGAGGGCTCGAGGCACGAGAAGCTGTGGTCTGAGTCAGAGCTGTCCATTTAGATAGGGTGTCAAGGAACGGGGTGTGGCCATATCACTGCTTGGCAGCTGAAGTGGCAGGCTGAAGATCCTTCAGACATCAAGGAGCACAGGACAGATGGTGGGGATTGAAACCAACCAGGAAGAAAGCAAGACACAAGGGGAAAAGGAAATCTAGGGTGCAGATGGTCCGAGACAAACTGAGGAGACAAGGTTAGTTACAACCTAAGAGCTGGACCTCAAAGCCACCAGGAAATATCGGTGCGTTACAGGGCGAATCCTGTTTCCCCACTTTGGATGCTCATAAGTGTGGAAGGAAGACAGCCATGGTCTCCTCCAGAGAAGAGCTAAGTTCCATACAGGGAGAAGACAAACACCCCCACGGGGAAGATTCTACACGGGACCTGATGGCTGTGGAATAAGGGTTCACAACGGAGATCATTTAACAAGTATTTATTGAGCAGTCATTCCTGCCAGGCCTTGGGATGGAGAATCTTCATTCACAGGCAGGGATATCTGGCCACAAGACTGCAGGTAGTGGGGTGGGGTGGCAAGTAGCCACAGAGGAGGGAAGAACTGAGGTTCTCAGAGGCCCATCTGATAGAGGGCCTAGGCCTGGACTGGTAAGGATGAGGTCTCTTGGGTGGGTTGGATTGTGGTAATGAAATTTCAAAGACTTCAAGATGGGACTTGAACTTGGGGATTTTCCATTTTCCATGCAGCCTTTGTTGGAATCTCTGAGATGTGCTACCTGTTCAGCACTCACCGAAGAAGCCATTAGGCTGAGAAGCCACGAGGGAGAAAAGGTAAGTTGCAGAGCCATTGGTTAAAATCGGGGGAGCCCTTGGAGAGCCCTGCACATCCAGCAGAGTGTGCTGATGCCCCCTCTGAGTGTAGGCATCAGCAGGTGCCTGGGAAGCCCTACGGTGGCGGGGTGGCGGCCTGAGCTACAAGAGCAGGCCTGGGTCAGGAGATAGTATCCCTGGGGGCATAGACCACCAAGGGTGTGATGAAGGCAGGTGGCTCTCCTTGCTTTGTGTGAGAAAATGCAGATCTGATAGAGGGCAGCGGCATACTTCTGGCAAGTGGTGGCAGCTTCCTCAGTGGGATGATGGGAAGACCGAGCTGGTGGCTGGCAGGTGCTTTGAGGTAGACCGCAGGCCCTGTTGGAGTGGGAGGTCCAGTGTGGGTGGGAGGCTCTTTGGGTGCTCAGCAGGGAGGAGTGGGTGGGTGTAGAGGGTGCTGCAGTGGTATCCCTGTGGCTCCAAATATTTTCCAATACGGAATCTCAGACTGCAGGCTGGAAAGAACTCTGCTTTCCCTGGACACTTAACAGCCTAGTCTCTGGTGACATAGCTCCAGGCACAGAAGAGTCATCATAAGATGCCTTTACGGAAATTTTCTAATAAGAAGTAAAATCTTGCACGTGCTCCTGTGGCAGTTTGAATGAGAATGTTCCCCATAAGCTCAGATGTGTTGGAGCTCAGATGTGTTGGAGCTCAGAAGAGCTGGAGCAACTGTTTGGGAAGGATTAGGAGGTGTGACCTTCTTGGAGTAGGTGTGGCACTGGCAATGGGCTTTGAGGTTTCAAAAGCCCATGCCATTCCCAGTTGGCAGCTCTCTCTGTAACTTGTGCTTGTGGATCAGATGTGCCTGCCTAATGTCACGCTCCCAGCCATGATGGTCATGGAATTACCTTCTGAAACTATAAATCCCAACAACCTCTTTCTACTATAAGATGCCTTTGTCATGGGGTCATAGAAAAGTGAAGAAGACATCCCCTGTCCATTATTTATAACCCATGGACACCTCTATCCATCACTAGCCTTCATTAACTGATGTTGTTGCTGTTGTTTTGTTTGTTTTTCAGACAGGATCTCTCTACATAGCCTTGACTGTCCTGGAACTCACTATGTAGACCAGACCAGCCTTGAACTCACAAAGATCTATACCTGCCTCTGACTCCCAAGTGCTGGGATTAAAGGCATGAACCACTATGTCTGGCATGAACTCTTGTCCAGCTCTCATGGAGAACTTAGATAGAAAAAATATAAGGAAGCTTATAGAGAAGGGCTTCAGATATTCCAGAGGACAGCCAGGTCCCGCAGGAAGCAGTCTAGCAAGCACTTCAGAGGCACTCTTGCCTGGTGTCATGAGAGGACTACAGGGCACTAAGCATGCAGCCAGCCAGTACTTGCAGACTCTCCTTAGTACAGTTTAGGCTTTTATTGCCTTGCTGGAAAATTTCTCATGTGCCAGATGAGCCTGAGAGTCACCTACTGTGGCTGCAGCCTTTGGATCTTAAATGAGGGGAGGCAGGAGTCCTAGGCTGAACTCCGAGTTACTCACCATATTGTCAATATCTGAGTCTTCTGAGCTGCTAATCACCACAATTCGCTCTTCTGAAATGAGGAGAAGTGGTGGCATTAAGTCCTTTCTGAAATTTCCACTGGCTGGGGTGAGAAGTGGCCACCCAGGAGAGTCCCTGTAAGCTGGGGGTGACAGATGCCCTCACCTGTGTGCATCAGGAGGACATGGAGTGTGTATATGTCTCAGTCACAGTGTTTGGCACTGACAGAGTTTGGAGGAAAGAAGTTAGAACCAGGGCGTAGCCCCTCAGGTATCTGTCCCACATTGGAATCACAGCAAAGTATGACCTCCACCATACTCAGTGGCAGCTCAGAGCAAAGTGTGCACAGGAATCCCGGTTGCTTTGAGCGCCCAGGTGGGACCAGAATGTGAGGTGGGGGCTGAAGGTGTTCTAGATCTCTGACGACGGCAAGAGGGTCTTACCCAAGAAGTGCCAGCCTGCCTGAGATCTCCCTACCTGTTTCCCCTGTGTCGCTGGTAACAAGGTTGTTGGTGAGTAGGAGGGTTTCTTCTAGGACAGGGCTCTCAGTGTCGGAAGGCCCATCCAGATGGCGAGGTGAGACGGCCTTGGAAGTGCTGGGCCTGGGCTGCTCAGGGGAGCCAGTGCTCAACTTGTCCTCATCCTCCTCTGTGGACTCCATCTTGATGATCTTCCTGGAGCAATTGGTGTGGCAGCACTTCCTCTTCCTGGGGGTGACTGTCTGAGAGGCCTCCTGCACAGCGGAGAGATACAGGGGTGATTCAGGTGTCTCCATGGTTGCTGGGCTGAGGACCCTGAGCTTGGTGCCAGGGGCTTGTGGCATGGTTTTGCTCCTGTTCCTTTGGCCTTGCTGACCATATCTCTGCAAACAGGAAACCCTCTTGGGTTGCCATGCACACTGCCAATGATCTCTGTCGACCTCCTGGCTTTGGCTGTGTCAGCATCCCAGCTGGGTTGAGAGTCACTCAAGTCTATTGGGAGGGGAGCATCCCAGAGGAATGGAGAATATGGGGCACATGCTGAGCGAATGAAGACCTTAGGAAGGCACAGGTTCTCATCCGCTGTGCCTCACTGTTGGCTGGAGTCTGACCCTTTCAGACAAGATGGGGCTGAGTAGGAGGACTTACCTCTCTATAGGTGGGACCTTCCACAGAGAAGGCATACACTGGCACAGGGTGTGCTCCGGGCACTGACTGTACCACAGCCACAGAGTGAGTCTTAGACATATTCAGGGCCTCGGCCTGGGCCTCTGACCTCTGTACTTCATTGGGCTGTAAAATCAGGTAACAAGAAAGTCAGAAATGGCCAGGGACCCTGGGCCTACCAACATGCCTCACTTTTAAGCTTCTTGGTCCCAATCGAAGAGCTCACTGGGACAAATAGCTTTTCCCGAACCCTCCATGATGTCACCTTCTTCTGATCTTGGGTTGCTGGTACCCAGGCACCACTTCAATTTCCTGACAGGGCAGGAAGACAGCTCAGGGACCACAACGCCAACTCCTCAGAACATGCCTAACAACTAGCCTAGCTTGCATGCCTCTAGAGACAAGCTGCTTGCTGTGAGAGCAGCATGTCCCTCAGCAGTGGTGGAGTTGCAGCAGTGAGAACATCCAAGTCCAGCCTCTCACAAGCTTGCCTCTACCCTGTACTGAATGTCTATTCCATCTTGCCAGGAGTTCAGAGAGCCTAAACTTCTATTGTCTTTAAGATGTCAGCTAATAGCTGCAGGATGTCCAGGCCTGGCGGTGAATAGCTCCTATATAAATAACAATAGACCTAGGTCAAGGCAAGATGTACACCCACCCTGAAGGCTAATGGATAGTGATGTGTACTGGTATGGAGTGCTCGATGGCCAAGTGTACATGCAGCTAGTGTAGCTACATGCAACCAAGGGAAGTAAATGCTATCTGGCCTTTTTGTTTTGTTTTGGTTTGGTTTGTTTTGGTTTGGTTTGTTTCAAGACAGGGTTTCTCTGTGGCTTTGGAGGCTGTCCTGGAACTCCTGGAACTAGCTCCAGTAGACCAGGCTGATCTCAAACTCACAGAGATCTGCCCGCCTCTGCCTCCTGAGTGCTGGGATTAAAGGTGTGCACCACCACCACCCAGCTATCTGCCCCTTATACACGATAATAGATGTCTTCTGCTCTTGTCCCCCCACCTTTGGATAGTTACTTAAGATGATGCATGAATAAACTGGGTGCATTGAGTATAAACTGACTGCCCTCCTGATATGATCCTACGTCTCTGTCTTTTCTTTAACGCCAGATAGCTAGCCTAACCTCATCCACACTCCCCCACTCAGGAACGGGCCCGGGGCTGTTCGGCTGGTTCCGAAGACATCAGTCTGCGACATAAAGCCCCTCAATGTGGGGCTAATAGGGACGGGACTTGACACTCCCCCCAAGTCTTAACTCTGTCCAGCAGCTGCTACACATTGGGATTACTTAAAACTCACTGGACCTCAGTCTCCTTCCAAAAAATGGGATGATAACATTTGCTTCATATGCTGATATGGCTGAAACGTGCCAAACACCTTCGACAGATCTAAGAGTATGTAGTACATACAGGGTTCCACTAGTAGGGGTGATGAGGACGGCTAATGAACACCACAGTTTTATTACTATTCCAGGTCAGACTTGGTGCTCAGTGTTTTGAGTTCCCAGCACTCACATGGCAGTTCACACCCATCTGTAACCCAAGTTTTGGTGGATACAACACCCTCTTCTGGCCTCTGCTGGCACTGCACGCATATGGTACACTTACCTGCATGCAAAACACTTATAACACATAACATAAAAAGAAATAAATTACAACATGACTTACCAATTCTACTCCTAGGTACTACCCCAAAAGTACTAAAGATATACATTCAAATGCAAATTTAAACATGGGGCTGGGCAGGCAGTTCAATGGAAAAGCACCTGCCTATCATATGCCAAGCCTCAGATTCCATCCTCAGGACGGAAGCAAAAAGTTTAAATGTCTTATCTTTGCCTTTATAGTTCTGAAATTGCTGACTGTCATTCTACTTAGGCCAGGAACTCCCTGTGGACAAGGCATCCACTCACTGGCATTAAAGAATCAGAAGACAGTAAGAGGGGAAAGTCACAAGTGATTTATAGCTGTCTCAGAACCTTTGGGGGTTGAATGACCCTTTCACAGGGGTTGACTAAGACCATTGGAAGACACAGATATTTACATTACGATTCATAATAGTAACAAAATTATAGTTATATTATAGATATGAAGTAGCAATGAAAATAATTTTATAGTTGGGGGTCATCACAACATGAGAGGCCATATTAAAGGGAACATTAGGTAGTTTAAGAAGCACCTGGTTAGAGTCTTAAAATCACAGAAACTTTCCCTTTTGAGGCAGTGCTGTGAGGGCCAGAGCTGCCTCTCCTGACAGGACTGACGACGCAGTTACATTACCCTGAGGTAGGTCTGGGCCTGCCTCCCTGACCTTTGCACCCACAAGCTGTTACCTACTTTTTTCTGGAGTCCTACCCTCAGCACTCAGGCGATGATTGTGGTACAAAGCAGGAAGTTTTGTAAAGCAGAGTAAAGCTCAAGTTCAAACTGCTCCCCAGCTGAGTCTCTTTGGGTCTGTATCTCCGCAGGGGGCTTTAGATTCCATGATCTCTTGTAGCTATAAAATTCACCGAGTCCTGCCTCCCCCCACCCCAGGAAGCTTTTCCTGACTATTGTAGCCCACAGCAATCTCTTGCCTGTGGGCCACCTCAAGGCTTAATAACCTTGTTGCCCACCAGAGCTTGGTCCTGGGCCCATATCTTAACATGCAGATATACACAATGGAGTGACCAAGCTGGGGAGGAGAAAGATGGAAGGCTCAGGAAGGAACTGAGAGGGCCGATCCTGCTGCAGGGAGCCATGCCTATGAGCATCAGTGGAGGAGAATGGAAAGGATGCCTGTGCATTTCTACCGTGGAAAGTACTAAGTCAGAGCAAGCAGAGGAAGGAGTACCACCTCAAGAATGAATGAGTTTCCTGTCCCCAAAGGCACCAACATGAGATCGCCTAAGGATGTATTCCCATTCTGAGAAACTGTAGGCTTTAGACACATGATGGTCCTGGAATCTGTGGGAGTGAGATGTCACTCCTACCTAGCCTTAAATCTAAGAACCATGTGGGTAGGAGTGGAGGTCCACCTATGCCAGCCCCAGAAAATGGCTCACACATTCAGGGATATCCTGTGTAGCATGCATCAGGACCATTGTTTATGTTTACTTCCTTCACTTCCTGCCCATCCCTGGGTCTAACCCTTCCTGAACTAGCATGGCCCATCAAGAGCTACTGAGACATTTAGGAACCCAGCACCAGCCAGTCAACCCTTCCTCACCACTTTCTTAAAACTCTCCTCCTGAGAGCTCCAGTCCAGTCATTTGCTGCCCCCTCTCAGGCATTCTCCCTGCTGGCACAGGACATCAGGACTCCCATCAACTTGCCTAACGCCCCTCCTCACACATCAAACACCTCTCACCTGCTCAAGGTCCAAAGATTCCCTGGGAGTACTGGCTGGCTCTGGGCTGGCTCTCCTGGCTACTGCTGCATCTGGAAAAACAAAACAAACAAACAAATAAAAAAACAAGCAAAAACAGAGAAAGCACAAGGGCAGTCTAGTAAGGGGAATTCTGGGCTGGACAGTGACACAGAGAGGTCCTTGTTGTGTTTCCTGGATATTCACTACTGAGCGTGTCTCCACAGAGGAACTGGAGTTGATTGCTGTAGGCATGACCCCAGCAAGAACAGAGAAGGGAAGGTAGCAAGGGGTGATACCTTTGACTTTAAATCCCAAGTGCACATCTTATCGTCTTTGGGGAAGTGTGGAATAATCGTTTTGTACAATGCGAAGATGTGTTGCTCTCCTTGGTTTAGTAAAGAGCTAAATGGTCTATAGCTAGGCAGAAAGAGGTCAGGCGGGACTTGCAGACAGGGAGAGAGCTCTCTGGGATGAAGAAGGGCACAATCGCCAGGAAGCATGGAGAGAAGCAAGATGAACTTGCCCTGATGAGAAAAGGTACTGAGTCACATGGTAGTCCTACATAGATAAAAATGTGGGCTAATTTAAGTTGTAAGAGCTAGTTAGGAACAAGCCTAAGTTATGGTCCATCTTTTCTAATTAATAATAAGTCCCCATGTCATTACTGGGGAGCTGGCTGTCCCAGCAGTCCCAATGAAAAGGTCCAACTACAGGGAATCATTCGCTGCCTAGATAAAGAAGATACAAGTCCATCTCCATTCTAGAACCTTTACAAGCTCATAGCCACCAGCTCCAGGAGGGAGCCCCTATTCCTGGAACCTGCCAGGAGCCAGGAGGGGTACCCCTCAATAGCTGCTCAGAGTTGACCTAGCCAAAAGATTTAAACAAAAACCCTGAAGGTATGCATGTACACTCATGGTGTTTGTTTTGAACAGCCCTTGATGCCACCAGCTCATACAGGGCACAGCTCCTGGAGTTTGATTCAGAGCCAAGCATGAGGCTATGCTACGTGGCCCAGGGTCCTCTCCCAGTTGAATAGGACGACTTTTGAGGTAGGAACTGGCCTGTCACTTCTGTACCTCATAAGAGCTCAGTGCCAGTACTCAGTACTCAGTATTTGGTACTCAGGACCTAGAGGCCGGGAGTTGGCTGCTTCATTCTAGGGGAATTCTTCCTTTCAGTGTCTGACCAAGTACCCTGTTGCTAGGTTTTCTGAGCCTCCTTCTCTCCTTACATCCCAGTTAGCTTCTCTTTTTCTGGGCATAGGGGACTTAAGAGGTCCCTGGAGTGGGCTGCAATGATACCACATCCGGTTCTCAGCTCGGCAGTTTCTCAATTTTCACATTCCTTAAAGTTGATTAAGTCACGTCTATTCCATAGAGTCTTACAAGTTAGCAAAGTGCCTTCTCCGGGTGCCTGCCACACCAGATCATTATATCCTTTTATTCCGCCCTCTGGAACCTAAGACCTCATAGCCGTCTTTCATGGAGATCACCTTTTCTGCCTCGCCTTCCCCTGTGGACAACAGTGTGGCCTCGGCACTTACCCGTCTTCTGGGTGATGCAGGAGATGAGTTCCTGCAGACACATCTTGAACTCCTCGAAGCCGCTGGTGCGCAGCTGGACTTGCTGATTCTGGGGCTCCTCCTGGCGCAGGCGGCACAGTGCCTTGCGCAGAAAACCGTGCATGTCCAGCACCTCCTGGTCAGAGGCATAGAGCTTCATCCTCTTGACCAGCGCCCCACCAGTGCGGATGCGCTGCAGCACAGCTTCCAGGCGGCCCAGCTGACCAGCTATTTCCTGGTAGTCGCGTTGGTAGCGTGCATTCACCGCCTCGAGCAGCTCACGCTCCTGTGCCTGCACATACTCTACCACCTGGCGAACGCGTGCTCGGATCCGCTCCTCGGTGTCTGCGCGCGCATGCTCCAGTTGGCCTATGGCCGAGCGCATCTGTGCGTGAGCATTGTCGAAGGTCTTGTCTTGCTCCTGCAGCGCCTGTGTCATGGTGCCCAGCTCCTCGTGCCGCTGCTGGATCTCCTCGCCAATGTCGCACTGGAGATGGCTGTGACCGCGGTCCAGAATCGCACATGCGCAACACAGAGGCTTGGAACAGCCTCGGCAGTAGATGCTGAGGACACGAAAGACCCACTTAGGACAAGCTATTTCTCAGTTTATGCTTTTCCCTACTCAGTGTCTATGGATGGCTATGGTACTGGGTCTATGCATAAAACACCAGACAGTAAAAAGCTACTACAGCACCAGCAAGTTCGGGAGTAAAAGTGCTCTCAAGCAAGCCTAACAGCCTGAGTTTGATTCTCCAGAGCCTACATGGTGTGACAACTGACTTCTGTCCTCTGACCTCTACATGCGTGCCAAAGCACAGGTGCACCCACAATCATACACACATTTTAAAAAGTAAACAAGCCGGGCGGTGGTGGCGCACGCCTTTAATCCCAGCACTCGGGAGGCAGAGGCAGGGGGATCTCTGTGAGTTCGAGGCCAGGCTGGACCAACAGCCTCCAAAACAATACGGAGAAACGCTGTCTTGTAAAACCAAAAAAAATAATAAATAAAATAAAATAAAAAGTAAACAAACTACCACAGTAACAATTTCTCCACACACGCAGCAATGCAGGCACATACACAAAGAAATAACCTCTTTCCGCCCTTTCTTAACATCCCTTAACCCTAGCTCTGACCCCGCCCTGCCCACTCAGGCCTCAGCTGAGCATGGGAAGGTTTCTTCTTCTCACCTGCCCACACCCAAACTCCACGCATGTCACTCCAACTTTGCAAGCACTGGCAGGGTACTTTTACTATTCTCTTTTCACAGATGAAGAAAAAGAAACCAAGACTTACAGCTAAACAATGTGGAGGGGTAATGTTTGTTATTAAAACATAAAATCATACTACAATTACCTGGATAACGTCCTTCTCTACTGCTTTCATTTAGGGCATTTCTTTGGGTTAACAGGGACAAACCTAATGTATTCATCTAAATAGCTCCATCATAGCTACATGGACAACTGTTTAGTTCAACAGGCTCCTTTTTGACAAAAACTCACAGTGATTTCCTGTTTGTGCATTTTACTTCTGCCTTTCTTCTTGCTCCCTTTTATTTTTTGACTGAATTGCACAGTGGTTTAATAACATAACATTCATGTTAGACAGCCCAATGTATGGGTGCCTTTCTTTCTATGAAATAGAGTACAGATAACAGATTGCTAGATGCATATCTCTATCTTAATATTTTACACATGTAAAATTATTAATTAATGGCAAATATATGATATCATGGATATTCTAATTAATTGGATTTTTCCAGTTCTACAGTGTATATCACAGTATTATATGTGATTTTATATATAGCTTTTATTAATCAATTCAATATATGGGCTAACGGACTTTCACAGTATTTATTATATTCATTCTATCTATTTTTTAAATATGTTACAAGGTGAAGGGACTTTTGTTGGGCCCCAGTCCCCACGGGGTCTCTGTGAGTGTCTGGTCAGTCAGCAAGTCCATCCTGTTTTCCAGTCCAAGAGCATCTTGTTTTCTAGTCCTGACTTACTGCCCCGGCCATGCCCCACTGACATCGACATCTAGCAGGAAGAAAACAAGATCTCTTCCACCTAGGGTTGTGCTGTAAGACTGTATATAAGGCTGCTCCCTCTTTACAATAGAGAAAGACCTCTTAGCACTTGCAATAAAGACTCTCTCTCTCTCTCTCTCTCTCTCTCTCTCTCTCTCTCTCTCCTAACAATAAAGGCGGCACACACATTTTCTTAGCACAAACAGTTGGACGTGATACTTTGGGCTTGTTTGTGGCATGGGTGCCACAGACCTTACATGTGTGATTAAATTAAGAATCCTGACATTCACCAGGCGGTGATGGCGCACGCCTTTAATCCCAGCACTCGGGAGGCAGAGGCAGGTGGATCTCTGTGAGTTCGAGGCCAGGCTGGACCGACAGCCTCCAAAACAATACAGAGAAACTCTGTCTCGAAAAAAAAAGAATCCTGACATTCTAGGAGCTGCAGAGATAGCTCAGAAGTTTAGAGCACTTGGTATTCTTTCAGAGATCCAAGTTTGATTCCCAGCACCTACACAGTGATTCACGATGTTTGTAACTCTAGTTCCAGGAGATCTGAGGCTCTCTTCTTACCTGTGTGGGTCCCAAGCACACATGCACATACATACATGCATCAAAACACATAAATAAATACATCTTTAAAAAAGATTGTTTAAAAAGAATTTTAAGATTGAGAGATTATTCTGAGTTACCTAGGTGTTATCTCAAGAGTTGTAATAAAAGGAAGAAGGGAGGCAGGAGACCGAGAGAGAACCTGATGAGAGCAGAAGCTGGAGTGATGATCTCCTGTTGGCTTTGGAGATGGAAGGAATGTGTGCCAAGGAATATGGGCAGCACAGAAACCAGGACAAGGATTCTCCCAAGTCCCAAAGCTCTGCTGGAACTTTGATTTCATCTCAGACCCATTGCAAACATGTGAAATCCAGAGGGACAATATTAGGGATCCGCATTGTTGCAAACTCCTGAGTTTGTGTCTATTTGTTATAGCAGCAATAGGAAATTAACACAGGAGCCAGGTAGCAGCCTCCGTCCAAGTTCTTAACCACTGTAATGCTGTTCTGTGCCAAGACCAATACTTTCAGCTACTTCTAAAGATATTCTGTAATGTAAAGAAAAAGCTTACTTGAGATCTGGGGAAACGTCTTATCTGGGGTCACATTGGCCTTGGTTACCAAGACCACCAAGATCCGGAACCATTAACAGAGAGCTGCAGGTCAGACCCTGGTCCTCTGCTTCATCAGCTCTCACCCTCCCCAGACCACTCAAAGTGGTGATGTCTCGGCACTCATCAGACACTGGGGGCTTATTCCAAGATGGCAAAGGATTCCCAGAGAGCCCAGAGTGTAGGAGGAGAACACCCCCAAGCATGCAGCTCTTCCCTCCATGGAGGCTGATCTCAGTGACAGTCCTGTTACCCAGAGCCAGAGCCAGACTGAGGCAAACAGCAATGAAGCAGAGAGGGCGGTGCCAAGAACCTAGATTTAGTCAAGACACAGAGCTGTGTCTCCAGGAGGAAAGGTCAGGTATTTCCTCCTAGAATATATGAAAGAATTAACTAAAACACTACTGAGTCAACAAGAAATTACTCAGCAAAATGACTATACTACACCAGAACTGAAAGAGTGAGACAGAAAGGAGAGGAAGAGGGAGAGGGGAGGGAGGGGAAGGGAGAGAAAGAGAGACAGGGATCTTAATTTTATTCTATCAAAGGAAATAAAAACAAATTGGGGCGGGTGGGGGTCCCATTCACAACAATAATCCAAAACTGTTATGCAATACTTAAACATACTAGCAAGAAATATGTAAGATTTGTATGAAGAAAATAGCAAAGACTCATTAGAAATAAGTCTAAAAAGCAGAAAACTGGGGCCAGTGAGACGGCTCAGTAGATAAGGCTGAGAGTCATCAAAGCTGACCACCCAAGTTAGATCCCTAGGACTCATGTGTCAAGGGAAAGAAAACGCAACTTCTTCAGGTTGACCTCTGAGCTGTGGCAAATGCACACAGACATAAGCACACAATCAACCAGTAAAATGTCCTGGCATGGAAGAAGGCACAAAGTCCAACTCCTAACCAAGAAGCATTTGCAACAGATAGCTTCTAGGAGAGGAAAATTAGTCTTCTGCAATGAGGTGACACAGGGTTTGTATATGAAGAACACCTCAGGTCAGGCCTCATGCTCAGGAGTAGCTGGCTAACACAAAACAGATTCCACGGATTTGCTTTTTCTGTTGGATTTTTTTTTGTTTTAGAGAGAGAGAGAGAGAGAGAGAGAGAGAGTGAGAGAGAGAGAGAGAGAGAGAGAGAGAGAGAGAGAGAGAGAGGAACAACCTGCAATTGGTTGAGTAGGGAGGAAGATCTAGGAGGAGTTGGGAAAGGGCAGAGAATATAATCAAAATATATTGTATGAAAACTTAAAAAAATAAATAAATGAGCTGGGTGGTGGTGACACACACTTTTAATTCCAGCACTTGGGAGGCAGAAGCAGATAAATGCAATTTTAAAATAAAAAAAATTCTAAAAACCCAGAAAAACCGGGCAGTGATGGCGCACGCCTTTAATCCCAGCACTCAGGAGGCAGAAGCAGGTGGATCTCTGTGAGTTCGAGACAAACCTCGTCTACAAGAGCTAGTTCCAGGACAGCCTCCAAAGCCACAGAGAACCCTGTCTCGAAAAAGAAACAACAACAACAAACAAAACAGAAAAGTAGACAAAGTTTCTGATTGGGAAGACTAAATATTGTAAGATTATTGATAGCAAGATAGTTCTTCCTGTAAGTGGCCTGAGGTGATCTATGAAAATGATTCGCTACTCTCTTGACCCAGAAAACTCCACAAAATCATGCAAGTCAAGAGGCTCAGATCTTCGGGTTCACTTTGAGAACACCCGTGAAACTGCCCAGGCCACCAAGGATATAGATATCTGAAAAGCCACCAAATACCTGAAAGATGTCATTTTGAAGAAGCAGTGAGCGCCGTTCCGGCGGTACAATGGAGGAGTCGGCAGATGCGCCCAGGCCAAACAGTGAGGCTGGACACAGGGGTGGTAGCCAAAAAAAAAAAAAAAAAAAAAAAAAGACTGATGAATTTTTGCTGGACCTGCTTAAAAATGCAGAGAGTAATGCTGAGCTTAAGGGTCTAGATGTAGATTCTCTGGTAATTGAACACACCCAGGTAAACAAAACACCTAAGATGTGCTGATGAATTTACAGGAGTCACAGCCAGATTAACTGACATGAGCTCCCCTGCATATCAAGATGATCCCCACGGAAAAGGGGCATATTGCTCCAAAGCCAGAAGCGGAGGTTGCACAGAAGAAAAAAATATCCCAAAAGAAACTGAAGAAACAAAAACTTGTAGCACAGGAATAAATTCAGCATAAAAATAAATGCAGATAAACATTTTTTTAAAAAGCAGATAAAGGCATTAAAATCTAATTATGAGACTTTAAAAAAACATAGCCAAATGATTATAAATGTCATATGTAGGAACTGATGAACCAAATAGCTAAGGAATGTTTGAAAATCTGTGGAA